ATTGCATTATATATGTATACTATTTGAATGTAGATTATCAATTTAATATGAAGATTAATAGATTAATAACGATTTTTAGGTTTCATTTTTTTTCATACTACATAAGTGTCGTCAACTATAAATTTACATCATTAAAAATTGTTTTCAGTAAGTCAGTAACTATCTTATAACAAGATATATAATAGTTTTATAAAAAACAAAACAAAAAATGAGAGATTTTGGTTAAAGGGATACAATGTAAAATCGGTTGTAAACTTGTAATAGATCAAATGCACTCACCTCCAACGTGGCCCGTTAAGCCCAGTTGTTTATAGCAAATCAAAAAGAACCGTCTTAAGTTATTAAAAAGACAAAACTGGACTATTGGTTGTGTAAATTGCCATTTTTAGAAAAATTGAACTTCAAATGAACATACCTACCCAAATTAAAACACAAAAAGAACATTATATTTATATATGGCCAAGCTTCCAAAAAAATGAAATTTTAGGGTTTCGGTGAACGCTTAAAGTCCATTTTCACATGTTAAAGAAATTCATTCATTTGAAATAGTTGTATTGTCAAATATTATATACGGAATTAGGTGGCATTAGGTGACATTATGAAGGCCACATCTGTAGAAAGAATCCATTGCAGTTTTCTAGCAAAATCTAAAAGTTTTCCTTAATAGAATTTCAAAGGCTAGTGATTTGTACACAACAATTTTTAGTCGTACACAACAATTTATGTATGGCTAAAAAATGTTGTGTACGGATCATTACCCAATTTCAAAGCTTCTTCTAATCATTAAAATATTTGGATTCTTTCATCTCAAGACACCAAAATATTTTCTCTTTAATTCATCTCCCCTACAAATCATCTTGCTTTAATTCTCATATCCTCGCGCGATGAGCTTCCCCTTTTGCAATTAGAAATAAATGCGAGTGAAGACGATGTTAAAAATGGTAGATTAAGTTTTCATGTGGGATTTCCAAGGGGATTTAGGTTAAATCGGAAATCCATGAAGTAAGGTGAGGAATGAAAGAGGCTCCCATACACATCACCATATTCCGATTCCAGTCATTTAGATCGATGGATGTTTCTGAAGAGAATCGTCAGAGTATTTCACGAACTTCTACATCTCACCGTTGAAAAGAAGATCGATCGTCGGAATGTTAGCAGTCTCCAAATCCAATGAATCTTCCTTAGAAATTCATGAAGGTTTTCCAGCATTATCCTGGGATTTTCTACATCTCAAAAAAGAACAACACAGTGACGGATGTTCTGTAGGAATTAATATATTCTTATTAATAACACAAATCAAATATGCAAGGGTATATGTTATTCACATATAAATCACATATATAAACTATATCCACATATGAATAGACCGTGTGATATTCACATGTAAATAAACATTAACATGTGAATATGTCATATAAACTAAATATATGATGTAATTTTCATATGTGAATATACAATACAAACAAAATATATTTTTTAATATTTATATATGAGTATACCTTTACAGATTAGCCAATATATGTTAGTTAATTGCATAGAACAAAGATGTAAGTTTATGTGTTATTTACATATGAATAAAATATAAAAATACAAACAGAAGTTTATGGAACGTTTCATCAAACGATTGCATTGAAGTGAACATAAGTTAACTTATATAACTAAAGTAAAATATTCACTAGTTTACAAAATATAAGAAAACATCGTCGTCGTCATCATATTGCAATTTCTAATCTAATGTGAATATGTGAATCACATATAACAATGCAAGATTATATGTTATTTATATGTGAACAACATAAAAAAATAATACAAACATAACTCTATTGAGTATTTCATCAAACACTTCGAATGCACACTCGTTAACTGATATAGTTATTGTAAAATCTTTATACAAAATACAAAATATGAACAATTTATGTAGAAATAGAAGATTAATAATTGAAAATCTCGAAAATTCTAAATTTTTTTTTGATGAAAAACAATATTGTGATCAAATAAAATAACTTTGAGGGCCAACTTGTTAGCTTTAACAATATTCTGTTTTTTCTTGCCATCTTCTCGTAATGTTGGGGGTCTAAATGATAATTCCTCTACAAATGAAGTAAACCCATGCCAATCTTCCCGTATTTCAAACTCAAGAACAGAGAATTATGATCTGAACTTCTGAATTGCATCCATCTGTTGCATTTGCTCTCTCGGATTCCAAAACCTGGACTATTATCTTCTGATAGGTAAATTCAGATCTCAATTTTTGAAATCTCCATCCATAATTGACTGCAACTTCTTCTTTTCGGGAGATCACCGTGGGCTGAATTTCTCGTGATGCCCAGTTAATTGGGGTCTGTTAGAATGTCCCTTGGGATCTGAAAATTCTAACTTTCTTCACTCAGATCTCCATTCTGGTTTCGTTACCGATGCATGTTCTTGATTTCGTTCTTTAATTTTTTTAACTAGTCGTATGCATCGAGATCCCAATTTGTGAACCTAATTTTATATTATCAGTCGTCGTCTAGGTATGCTTTGATTGACTTCGATAATGATAAATTATCAATTTGCCTCAGATAGTCCGAAGTCCTTTAATGCGTACCCTAGAGGTGATTTTGATTTAGAGTCGAGCACAGTTAGAAAAGCAAGAAAGCCCAAACATTCCTCATTTCATCCTATTATAATGATTAAATCTTTCGGAAATCGAATTATGTACTACTACAAGTTACACCCTGTGATGGTATTGTTGATTTTCCTGTCATTTGGAGTCACCACTCTCATAGTTCTTTCACTCTATACTAGCCATTTTCAGACGATGAGTAATTATAGGAAGTTTGACACTAGTCTGGATAATGCATATCCATTTCCAAAGCTTCGTAATCTTGTGATGGTTGCTGGGCATTCTATATATACAAGTAGTAGTTGTGAGAAAATTGATAAGGAGGATTCTTGGTTTTTGGAATCATATCAGAAGAATCCAGGACAAGCTTCTACTTTTGTTGCACATATAAAGGAAGGAATTGAGATTGCAGCCAAAGATGATGATGCTTTGTTGCTGTTTAGTGGTGGAGAGACTCGTAAAGATGCAGGACCACGAAGTGAAGCACAAAGTTATTGGATAGTTGCTGACTCAAAAGGATGGTTTGGTGAGTTTTTATATATATATTTTTTCTTTTTATTGCATTATCTATTACTTATATGTAGATGAAAAGTAAATTTAATTTTGAAGATATACTCTCTTAAAACTTATATGGCAGTGAAAGGTGACCACTATCTAGTTTAGTGTTTGTTATTTTCATCAAATTTTGATAGTATCTTGTTAGTTGTGAGCAACTGAGCATACAATGCAGTAGCAACAGTAGTTTATTGATCTTTATCTAAGGGGTGTGTTTGGATGTACGTATTCAAACTGATTATTGTGACTTGAATAATTAGAATAATTTAGAATCAATCGAATAAAGCTAGGGATATATAGGTAATCTTATGTTTATCAATATGATCAGTAAAGAGTTTTATTACTGTAACTTCTTACATGCTTCTCCATTGATTAGTTTTTGCCCTAAATAATCAAAAAGTTAGGATCAAAATCATTTTTACTGGAGCAATGTGCACTTGAGAATGAATTATTACCAATTACTTTTTCTTGATATGTAGAAACTGAAACTGCTTACATCTGAACATCTTTCCCAGTGATTGTACTTGTACTTATGGTAGAATTATTGATACAAATACAGGCAACCGGGAGAAGGTAAGATGGAAAGCACTCACAGAAGAACACGCAAGAGACAGCTTTGAGAATCTTCTCTTCAGTGTATGCCGATTCCGTGAACTTACCGGATCTTATCCACAAAACATCACTGTATGTTCCTTTCTCATTCTTTTTGACTTAATGGAGGGCTTAATGGGGACATGACTTAATCTCTATATCTATGTAAATGTAGGTTGTGGGATATGATTTTAAGAAAGAAAGATTTGTTAATTTACACAGATCTGCAATTGGGTTCCCAGAGGCAAGATTCTTCTATATGGGCACTCCAGCAGCAACAACATCAAAAGAAGCAGCATTAAAAGGGGAGGCATTAGTCAGGACACAATTCCAAAATGACCCTTACTCATGTTTGGGCTCACTACGCCGCAAAAAGATCGGGCGGGACCCGTTTCACCGGTCAATACCTTACCCGAATGGCTGCCCGGAAATTGAAGGCCTGTTCAGATACTGTGGAGGTGCATTCTATCCGGGTTCTGTTCCTTGGGCTTGAGAAAATTGATTATATACATATTTGCCTTTTTTTGTTTCATATTATTTTAGGATTGTATGATTTTGAAGCGATACGAAATAGATGCATTTGATATATAATATATATTATATATAGATATTGACAAAACTTAGTCAGCGTGATCATTAGTTAACTGCGTAAATTGATAAAATGTAAAATTTTCATTATTGTTTATGAACATGAAATACTCGGAAGATTTCAAACATGCAAGCTGGAATTACAAAGAAATCATAATTTAGTTTATTGGAACTCTAAATTGTCTATTATTTTCGTTTAAGAAAAAGGGCAACTTGAAGACGTCCCCTCGCCCTCACCGGTGTTTGAATCTCCGGCGGCGGTGGCACCACCACCTTTGGTGAGACCTGCAAGAAGCTCTCCTCTGTCGTAGAAGAACTCCACCTTCATCACCTTCAACTCTTCATCCAACTGTAAAACATTTCCAAAATGATTCAACTCAAGAATCCCTAATAAGAGAATCAGATTTCTTTATTTGATTTTGGTATCGTTATTTTAGGTGATGTCTCTTTATAAACAAAAACAAAGGGTAAAATGGTCATTTAGTATGATTCATATAACTTATTTAGTGTTTTTTTTTTTAGAAATAAAATTTGTTTACAAAAGATCCAAATAGATCTTAATATAGAAAGAACAACGTAACACAGAAAGTCTAGGAAAATTAGACTTTCTTCATTAAGTTAACTTTTTTACAAAATTTTTCCTTTCAAAAGCGTATTGGTATTGTTATTTTCTTATAAATATCTAATCAAGATTTAATATGCTTCACCTCCATTGTGGAGACACCAAACATTTCTACAATTTCTCCGGTAGGCGGATGACCTTTGAATGGGCCTTCCATGTAACCCCAATGCCTGAATTTATACGCAATCACTGGTGGACCTGAGTAAACCTGAAGAATCTCCACCGCAAAACCACGAGGAAAGGTGGTGGTGAAGAGCTTGTGAGCCGTATCCACAGTTTCATCGGTAGGATTATACAAACGTAGCTTTTCAGGCAACGAAGTTTGAAGAAACATATTGTATCCTCCGCCTATCTTGGCTACATCTTGCGGTGTCATTGGTTTCCTACCTGGAAACAAATTCGCATGATATTAGCAGTTGTTTATATAAACACAGTTTGAGCTCAAGCTATGTGTTAATCTCTTCATCAAACTACCATTAACAGAAGTTGTTAACTTTGTGACGTCACACGTTTTGAAATCTTTGGGATTCAGTTTGTGGAATATCTCCATTTCCCATGTTTTCACAAGATTCTGAACTTGCTCTTCCAATGAACCTGTGGGCCATATCTAACCATCCAAACAACACAACATCAGTTTAAAGAACTCCAACCTTTTAGTTTATACATTATTGATTTACTTTCATACTTTTCTAATTTAGTTATTTAATTATGGTTCTCGGGTTTTTGGTTTTGAGAACTGATAAAATACAATAAGGAAAGCATATTGTCACCATTTTATCTATCTAGCAAGTTAATTATTATTTTTTAGTGGTTATTATAATAATAATTTAGTGGTTGGATCGATAAAAATAATGATATTGCCCATATATCAATACCGAATAACCAGGAAAATGGTTGTTTACATGGTCGGAAAAACATATTGGTCTAATCATTATAGAAAATAGTTAATGAATAAAATTTTGAAAGAACACTTGTTTTATGTAACAAATATGAGAAGCTATGCAACTTTAACTTTATGTTTATATGATGTTATTATTTTGATGGTATCTCCATAATAAATGAAAATAATTTACCACTTGTCATCCATTTATGCATTATGTCATATATGTTATTTTATGGTAAATTTAAATTAAATTATATATATGTGTCATTTTGTAGGGTTTTTTTTCATTTTATTAAATTAAATATAATACTTAAATGTAATAGATGTAATAATAAATATATATCTAATTCATTAATGCAACTTTTCTTATAATTTCTAAATTTCTAAATTTCTAAATTAAATCTAATTATTTTAGTTGTTTATTAATTTAAATTTAAAAGATAAATAAACACTTCAATTTTAATAATTAATATTTTACTTTTTTTTTCTTATAAATTTAAATTTTCTAAATTGTTAGTTTCTTATCCATTTATTATATTGGTCGTTTAAACAAAGAAGACTAAGTAGGGGTAGAAGGATTTAAAAACCTTTGTTCTTCCTGCTTCAAAGAGCTTGTTGACCACATCAAAGTTAGGGGGAACACCCAACTTCCATGTGGTGTTCTTCTCACCTTTTCCACTCATGAAACATCTGTACTTATCCACATCTGAACCTTTGTATTGATCCATCCTTTTGTGTTTGTTGATTTGTTGATTTGTTGATTGAACAAAATATGATATTGGTTTATATATATAGCAACTGGAAAAGGGGTGTTTGGAGAAAGGTAGTGGTGGCTATGGGGAGTTGGTAAGAGTCCCATATCTACTCTCTTAGAAATGATTTCTTTATTGTTCCCTAAATTATTAATGATTATAGGGGAATAAAAACAAATATACTATTATTACTAATTTTATCTTTAAATCTGTCATCAAGTTTATTATAGATTTAAATAGAAGAGAGTTGAGTAACAACTGATTAGAGTTAATTTGATAAATGGGCAACAAATATATATGTTTTTGTTTACAAATTCCATTAAAAATCTTTAAAATAATGGTATTCTATGAATACAAAGTTCTATTATTTAGTTTTATGATGGTACTTTTTTATTTAAAACAAGCATGTTTTACGATGGATAGTTGTCCATAAATAGTTAGCATATCAAATATGACTGATAAAACTATAGCACTAAATAACGATTCAATTTTTATAAATAAGAAAATACAGAATGTAAGTATTTTAATATCCTTTATAATCATCATTTCTAATAAATGAAGATTTTTTTTTGTCACTTGTCACACTCATTCAATTTGACAAATGTCATTTTGTAGTTAATTTGAATTAATTATTTTTCCACATGTCATTTTATGAGTTTTTCTAGTTTATTAAATTCTATATAATATTTTAATGTAATAATTGCAATAATCTCTCTAATAAATGAATGTTTTTTTTTTGTCACTTGTTACACTCTCATTCAATTTGACAAATATCATTTTATAGTTAATTTGAATTAATTTTTTTCCACATATCATTTTATGAATTTTTCTATTTTATTAAATTCCACATAATATTTTAATGTAATAATTGCAATAAATATAGTAATA